AACAGCGCAGCCTGGCCAGCTAAGCCAAGCATAAGTGCAGCTCCGAGAAATTCCCAAGCGTAAATACCATATCTACCACCTCTACGAACAATGCGGAAGGGATTCCTTCTCCATTTATGAAAACTTCGTGTTGAGAAAGATCAAGACGGACAGCTTAACTTCCTAGGACCAAGAGGGAAGTGTCATAGGCGTAGAAGACCCTCTCGAGAGGCCACACTTATCCGACTCATTGGTTAGGGGGGATTATCTACTCGATGAACGTATTGGGTCGAATGTTTTTCTCCCTTTTCAAGTCATTAGAACCAAAACCCCTCCACCTGTAACGTCTCTTTTACGGAATACTGGTTGAGACTAGGCGTTGGGCCGTCAAAGAGGGTTCTCTGTCCTAGTCGATCAATTTTCTCATACGCCTTAACTCGCATTTGCTACTAAAAGGAATATCGACACTGTTAATTTATTCACTGCGATAGCATTTCTCCGAATCCAATCTGTGCCGAGGCGGCGCCGCACGGCTTTCGTACGGAGGGGACTCAAGCCTAGTCACCTAAGTTAACGCACACCGAATAATCCGCTTGACGAATACCTTCCAATGAGTGATTACTATCAACAATATCTGCCCTCGGCGGCGGGGAGTGGAGAGTCACCAAACCCCAGCCCACAAGATGCCCAATATCAACCTCAGCAACATTCTACACACATGGGAAACATCAGCCCACCCTTAACAACTCCATATCAAAACCTAGGATACTTCACCGGCTTTCCTGACCCAATTATGTTTCAGGCCCCCAAAGCCCAGAGCAATCGAAATCGCAAGAAATCTACGTCGGGGGCAGACCACGTCAAGCATCGCCGGACACGATCGGGTTGTTACACTTGTCGAAGTAGACGAGTTAAGGTAAGCATCGGTTCTTTGGAGTTGGTATGGTAATGCTTAGATTGACCTTAGTGCGATGAAACTCATCCCATCTGTGAGCGTAAGTGTCACCATGCTAAACATTTCGAAGCCGAGCTGATAGTTACAGGATGTCGCAAAGGCAAGAGGGATTGTGTATACCCGGAAGCCTCTTCTGCAAAGGGGCAAGCTACCGAGCCAGGTTCATCGAAAGATACAGGAGCATTAACTCAAGAGCCCAGCCCGAACTCTTCGCAAGACGAAGCAGACGAAGAAGGAGAGAAAAGTATTCGGCTCGAGCCAATCATTGACGAAGAGGAACCTACCGAGGCGTTATCGCCAACTTCATATTTAGCAGGATTACGAAGAACGAGTACGACGTCAACCTCAAACGTTTACAGGACCACAACAAGGCAGAGCTCCGAAACGCCTTCCTTAGAGGGTAATAAGAGCGCTTCACCAGCAATTTCAACGGCCACCTCCGCAAGCATTCCGATCTCTTTCCAGATTCCAGATTCCTCTCTTCAGTCAGCCATCCCTCGCCCGGATTGGTCTCATTTGCCGACAGACCTGCAATCTCACCTGACATACTTTTGCGAAAACATCAGTCACTATAGTTACGGACTGGTCAATGATACGGACGACTTCTTCCGCTCAATCCTCCCTAGTTTGGCCGTGCAGGCTGGTAACGAAGCTCTTCTAAATGCTGTTGTGGGATTCTCGGTGTACCATCGGACTATTCGGAATCCCAATGGCAAGATCCAAGACTTTTTACGATATTATAATAAAAGTGTTACGTTATTATTAAGTTACCTCAAGAGACGAGAGAAGCAGGGTGTTGCAACGCTATTGACCATATTGCAGCTCGCAACTATCGAGGTAAACATACGTTAAAAGCAACCTGCAGAGAGCCATTGCTAATTAGAACAAGGAATACCTAGGTGACTGGGTAAATCTCATGGGACACCAAAAAGCCGCCTACGAGATTTTGACCCGGCTGTTCACACCCCAGACAATCATGAATTCGCCTACGTCCCGAATATTGCTAACTTGGTACATTCGATTCGACGTCTTTGTAGGAATGATGGGAGGATTCGAAACAAGTCTACCGCGGCAATGGTTCTCAACAGTTGTACAGTTCTGCCAGGAGCACGTTGAAAGGGACCCGGAGGATGTAGGGATAAAGACAGAACTCCATGCTTCTGCTTTGCGACTGATTTCTAGGGATATGTCGATACTCTATGCCAGAGGCGGTCGGGGCGAGCTATCGGGTGATGATTTCGCCATAGAACACAACCATATTACGGAACGCCTCTACGGATGGAGGGCCAATTTAGATCCTGCTTTGACTGATCCGAGTTTTCTTGTAACCGATCTCCCGCACAAAGTCCCGATAAGCGAAGGTGACATCGTTGATCCTTACAAGTCAGGCCACCTTTACGATTTTCCCCTATTCTCGACTACCGAGTTAATAGCAGAGTGGAATTCCATCCTCGTCATGCACAAGAGTCAAGAGGCGTTCGCATTACAACAGAAACCATCGGATGAGTTAAGGGGTTTGGCATACGCTATATGCGAAATTTTTGAGACAGTAGAACGGTGGCCTTCAGCACCAAACGGTGCCCTCATTCCAATCCAGGCCTGTCTCGCTATCGCAGCGCTTTTTCTACCTCGAGACGAGAAACACCATATGTGGTTAAGGCGGAAATATGCAATGCTGGAAGCATTAGGGTAAGTTATACAGGTCTTTGCACAGCTTACCCGTCTATCGTCTCCAGCTCTATAATATACCGGGCAAACACGGAGTAAACACCAGGAATCCAATAACTAACTTTTCTTGATTTCAAATCATTAGATACGTTTTCCCACTCACCATACGAACTCGAATGGCAGAAATATTTCGCGAACCTTCTTGTATACAATGGTGGCTCCCAAACGACGAAGGACTAAGTCCCGTATTACGAAGCATCCGTGCTTTTGCAGACGAACGCAATGCGAATCCTGTTTCTCAACAAACCGAATCTCTCCGGGAAATAAGTGCTATCTTTGCAAAGATGCGCATCGACCCCGAACACGAAGGCGTATCATCGCCTGGCGGTGAATCCAACAGCGGTGCCTCTTCTTTCTGAGGTGCTAATATTGTACCCACATACGAGGCCAAGGCGTCACAAGAGACCCGGGCGACGACCATACGAGATGTCTGTATATCCCAATGCTATCGACGAAAAAAGAAGCGAGGTTGATAAAGCTTTATACGTCGGCAGCAAGCTGGCTGAGTTATTACAAATCCCATAGCGATGCAGCAAAGATGTTTCTGTGACGTTGTAGACGGACTAGGGTCTGAAACAATGAGGTCTCGATGCGGCGAAAATGGGACCGGAATGGAAACCGAGCCGTGATGCAACTCTGCGCTGCAGGACCAGGGGATGCTTGGCCCTTGGGAGGTGAGGCGACCTACTATGCGGCCAGGTACTACGTACATACAACACCAAAGCCCGTTGAAATTGGGGGATCTTATGAATAAGATGACCATGCATGCAGCCTTAGCAAACTTACCAGCGCCATGGTTACAAGCCAACCTTCAGTCCCAGTAGTTATCCTGGTCCAGCTTCCCACAGATCCTTAGCCGTCCCGTTACCCCCCGCCCCCCCTACACTCATCAGACGAACTATATCAACCCATAAGATCTCAGATCTAAGTTATTACATATAGATCGGATAATCCGTGTGTGTATTGGATGGTACTAGTGGAAGATTTTGGAGCCCGCCAAGACAAGAAAACCCGGCTATCGTAGACGGATTAGAGAATCGTACGAGACAGAGCTCAGATGTATAAAAGCATCGACTACCTGTTCAACCCAGCAAGTGCCAGCATCAGCACCGGCACTATCCCCTCCGCGAATAATACACTTCATTGTAGAAGTATGCTTATTTCACATCGTTCCCGTTACGCAGCTCGGCTTGAAGAGTAACAGTCAGGCCTCGCCGAATGTGCAGTTTCATTAGCCACTTCCATGCCTCCTTGGCATCACCCGCCTTGGTGGCAATGTGCAGTCTCTTAGTGCAACTAAACTATATCCCCGCACACCTGCATATTGATTGATAAATTTCCTTCTGTGTTCTATAAATATTCACCGGTCACAAAAACAGGGGAAGAAAAAAAGGAAGAAAAAAAAGGGGGGTATGCTCGCCACCTATTAGGTCAATTTTTACTCCACTCTCCCGGGATTCATTCACCAAAGAGGACTAATCGCAACGGCAACCTGCTGTCGGGGGTTTTTTCTATAAAAAGCACTGGAGACGGGAGTGAACATAAGAAAAATTTATACGCAAACACGCATTCAACACGCCAATATACACGCAAACAGCTTCCATGAATATACCCCTTAAAGTTGGACCTCTACACATGGAATTAGAACCAGGATAAAATCCGCTTGAGACAGATACGTATTACAGGGTAGAGCAGGGATTCCCGGGAAGAGGAAAATAATCACAAAAGGGCAGTGATACCAGATACCAAAGGCAAGGCATCCTAGGAAAAAGGAAGACGGCGCATATAATATTTTACTTTTCTTTCCTATTATGTTATACCATCTCGACACATTTCTATTATATTGTAAAGTAACTAGGTTAATGGTTAGACTCGTCAATTTGTGCAACTGGAAGGAAAATGTTTATAAGCTACGGGAAAGTTGATAGTTAATAATACCCCTAGGTTAGGTTAATGGCTCGGCTTTATTGACACTGGTTATAACTATGCTTACTTGACATGTACTTGGAATATAATCGCTACATGCCGTTTGCTTGAGGCGATACATAGTATAAATCTATCACTCAGGTTTTATCAAAAAGTTGGGTTGATTTAAAACTGCTTTACTGCTGTGCTGGGAGTCGGGAGCGGTAGGAAATGGGGCCAATGGTGAATTCCGAACTCATTCGCCGGGCATAAATCGTGATGTCTTAACCCGTTCCAAGGAAGAGCCTATCCTTGTGTGGTTTTCGAATCCAGAGTTCTGGCGTCGAGCTTGGTTCGAGACGAAATACGATAACACGAATGGCAAATATTAGTTTAGCAAGAGTAAACTACCTACCTAATGTATTATCAAAATGTACATGCTGAAGTCAACAATACAGACAACATAGCTGCTGCGGTTGTAAACAATGCAATACAAAGAAGCTTGTTCAACGAAACGTAAGCTCTAAGATAGCCAAGTCAACGGAGTCAGGTACAGAATTACAACATTGCTTAGAATCTCGGGCATAAGACATAACCATTAGTAGGACTACTAGAGAAAGCTTCTCAAGCTTCTCACCAGCTTAGAGTACCACATTACACATAATTAACCCGTCCGCCAGCCTCGCATCTTAATTATGTGCCGGAGAACTGTCCTTTCCCTCCCCTTCCCCTATCTCATTTAACACTGTTCATACACGTATAACCTTCGCCTGAGGCTCGCCACCCAATAGCTCCAAGACGCGGAAACTATGCACATGCCGCAATCAACGCCAATTCAGAACATATCTCGGTCATCATCAGCATTTCCCGATTCTTCGTCATCGTCGGCGCCCCTCACCTGCCGTAATCTGCCGACGATCGCGTCCGTTCGTCCTATAATCATGTCCGTTTCGTCGTTCAAATCCTCGTCGTCAGGTTCATCGGTGCAATTCCACCGGCGACGGAGCCGCTCGAGCGCCCGTCTAGCACGACGGATGACTTCCTCTACGGCCGCCGGGTCCACGTCTTCAAATCGCTCCAGGCCAGCTACGAAATCCTAGTCCGTGCCCAAATTCTTTGAATTTGACTTTTCTTTCTTCGCCTCCTCCGTCTCCTCTTTCTCCGTATCTACCTCGGTAGATTCCGTCGCCAGTGCAGGTTCCTCGGCAGTGCTCGGCTCGGCTTGCTGCTCGGCTTGCTGCTCTTCTTCTGCTGGCGCATCTTCCTGCTTTTCTATGCTCGGGACAGGTGCTTCGTTCTCCTCAACCACCTGCCCATTTTCAAGTAGGGATACTTCTTTGCTGCTCTCAGCCTCCACTGCCTCGCTTTCCGTAGATATCTCTGGTTCTGCCGGCACATCCTCTTGTACTTCTATCCTGATACCTTGAGAATGCACGTCACCCTGTTGCTCCCGGGGCTCGGACAGTTGAGGCACTCCAAGTTCCTGGACGCCAGAAGAATTTTCTAGCAATTCACCTTCAACAATGACAGGTACTTCGACTCCGGACTCTTCCTCTTCTGCTATCTCGGGGCCTGAGATGTGCATGTTCTTAAGTTTGTTTGCAACGTCCTGCTCGTCTTCTCGTTCTTCAATAACAGTCGTCACGGAACTACCGGTTGACGGCCTGCTCGAATGTCTAGCCGTATTACTTCTACGAGCGTGTAGACCATGTCGATCATCTTCATGTTCGGTGCTCTCGTGCTGCTGCTGCTGCTGCTGCTGTTGTTGTTGTTGCTGCTGCGGCGGCGGCGGTGGTGGCGGCTGCAGCGGCTTCACAATAGCGGTTACTACGGGCTTCTTATCCTCCTTCTCAGCCGGTTCCAAGCCCTCTGCTTCTGGTGGGAGCTTGTAGTTCTCGGCAGGAAGAAGGTCATACATGTCACAGACCATCTTGAAGAATGCATACAAGCCCGTCTGAGCTTCGACTGACCAGAACACTCCTCTATGTTGGAACCACGCATGTGCGAATATTCTGTGGAGTCGACGGAACACATTGATAAGATTCTTTAGCACTGAGCTCTTGTCATGCCCTTCTGATAGCACCACAAATCTGCTTGGAAAGATCTTGGGGTTGGTGACTACGTTCGCAGCCCAGTCGAGGGTATGGCAGCAGTAGTCGATGGCACAGCAGCTCTTTGGTTGGTCATGGACGGCACATAGAAATTGCCATTCGGAGGCTCGCATCTCGGGGCATGTTATAGATGAACATGGCGGCGTATCAAAGAGGAAGCCTACTATCAGACTATTACATTGGGCGATGAGGAAACGGCAAAGCTCGTAGAGCCATAGCGTCCTATCGATGCCTGGCGGCGGCGTAGCTAGTTGCAAAGCAGTCGCTCGAGTGATAGGTGTCGTATTAGAGGCGGTATGGTGGTAGTGAAGTGCTGCGAGATGTTCTTGAAGTTGAAAGGCTGAGTCGAGCTACAACGTGTCGTGTTAGTACATACTGTCGCGAAAACGGGTAGAATAAAGCAACGCACCTCGCCAAGTGGAATAAGAGGCGGCCCGGCAGCCATGTCCTCAGACTTGGTGCCCGGATGTATGCGCCGTTTCGCATTTGCTTCGGTGATAGTCTGCTCCATCTGTTGTGCTTGACGGCTTGCAGTGCTACCCAGTCCTGGAGATTTAGGTCCGATCTGAATCTCGGCGGGAGGTGGTGGACTGGGCAGTCGAGGCGAGCCCTGCGCCAGAGACATGATAAAAGTACCTATGTGGATATTTGAGGCTAATGCCCCAGGTGCGGATTGTTTATTGGGTAAACAGTTGGTGTCCTTGCTTCGTTGTTCTGTCGCTAAGTGAACTGTTGTTGTGTGATTTGAGAAGCGCAGAGACGCCAAGCCTTTTGATCCAGAAAGCAGCTAAGATACAGGTACCGAAGTATTTAATAAGTACCTAAGTACCTACATGTACTGCATCGTTATATAATTAAACCGCATCAAAGCATACAATATCCGCTCTATTGCAGTCATGCATTTAAGCATAAACATGTTTTTGTCTGAGTCACTTGGAACCAGATGTCATTGGGAGGGCGCGAGACAACAAAACATATACTTTACGTACTATTCTCTTAGGAACTTCTGCTTTATTTTATCAAATCCTAACCAAATACCCAAGTCAATATCTATCCCATATTTAAGAACATATCATGAACTTTGACGAAGATATACCCCCGGAACTTGTCGAGATTGAGACAGGCCTGCAAGAGGAGAAACATGTCAAGGTGCCCATCACCATCGTCACCGGTAAATTGATGTTACACATTATTGATATACCATTGCTAACATTCTCTGGAGGATACCTTGGAGCTGGAAAAACAACTTTGCTCAACTACATATTAACTGCCCGGCATGGCAAGAGAATTGCCGTCATCATGAACGAGTTCGGTGATTGTTCGTAACAGGAGCCTGCACCCTGCAAAGCCAATTTCTAAGCTAACCTTATCCTAGCACTCGATATTGAGAAGTCATTGACGGTCAACAAGGGCGGCGAGCAAGTTCAAGAATGGCTCGACGTCGGCAACGGCTGCATCTGTTGCTCGGTGAAGTACCGTTCAACCACGTTGGTCAATGAGGTAGTATTCTAATCTTGGCACAGGGACTCCGGAGTTAATGCTATTGAGTCACTTATGGAGAAGAAAGGTGCCTTTGATTACATTCTTTTGGAAACTACTGGACTAGCCGATCCTGGTAACTTAGCCCCCTTATTCTGGGTCGACGACGGTTTAGGGAGCACCATCTACCTGGATGGGATCGTCACACTGGTCGATGCGAAGAACATTCTTCGAAGCCTAGACGACCCATCAGGGAAAGTCGAAGGCCATGATGGTCATGGGCCCCTCATGACAACCGCCCATGTTCAAATTTCCCATGCAGATGTTATCGTTATTAACAAGTCAGATCTGGTTGAGCCTGCGGTGCTTAAGAATGTTAAAGAGCGAATACAAGCGATTAATGGCCTTGCAAAGATTCATATAACGAACCAAAGCGTTGTGCCTCAACTAGAAGGCTTCTTACTAGACCTACATGCATATGACCAAGTTGAGGCTTTGGATACTGCAGGAAAGGGACACAGCCATCTTGACCCTGTTCGTTGAATGCCTTTTCTCAGCTAGGAATTAAGCTAATAACCCCATAGACTATTTCCACGGTTTCTATCAATGTGCCGCCTTTAGCCCCTGGACAACTTGAACTAGTTGATAGCTGGATCAGGTCGCTCTTATGGGAAGGCCAAGTACCAGGAGAACCGACTAACTCCACTGAACCCATCGAAATTCATCGCCTAAAATCCCGCTTAGTTTTTAAAGACGGCAACGTGAAAATGGTGCAGGGTGTCAGGGAGGTGTTTGAGATTTTCGATGGAGAACAAGCGCCCAATGAAGACGGCGTAGTTCCGCAAGCTGGGAAGCTTGTCCTTATTGGAAGGGGCGTGCAGGGGATCAACTTTGAGACAAGCCTGCTAAACGCAATCCAAGATATAGAGAGCTAGAATATCATCATCAAACATCGTGGCGGCATTGAGCCTCGCAGCGTTGGTTTGTAAGATAAATCAAGCATCTAGTCAAACATGAGCTGCTACATGTTGTCCTGATAATACATACTAATTTGTTGCTGTTAGGTGGCATTTAGATAAAGTAGTTTTTTGATTATTACCCTAAGCAGGTTTTGTAAAAATGTTTAAAATTAGTCATTAAATATTTTTATAATTAATAAAACATTATGTATTTGTTTTTATGGTTGAGCTGCATAAGGGTAACCGCCATTAGTCCCTTGTTTCGTCCGTAGGATTTATACTTACGAATATCTATTATGGACACAGTTATGATGATTTAACAAGTTCAAGAAGACGGGCAACAATTCTCATAAATATATGCACTAGGTTAAAAGTTTATATTCTGCTAATTTAGCAAGTACGTTTCTCGGAATAAACTAGCTATACCATTATGCTATCCTAAAGGCTACCTATGTAGGTATTCAAGCAACGACTACATGAAAGAGTGCTATGGTTTATTAATAACTAGTTGTTGATGGTAAAGATGGGTTCTAAATTCCGTCTCTGAGGGTAGACAATACACTAGATTACCTAAATAAAATGGATTGAACATCTTATAAAAGCGCTGCCTCTTTCTATTAACTAGGTGTCCAGGTAACCATGTACCTTAGGATGTAGGAAGGATATGGACATGTGCCCTTACATACATGTATGTCATATGTACAAGTGAAAGGGCACATGCACAAGCACTTGACGTAGTTGCGTAGCTGTCGGGAAGTAGCAGTGCGGGGACTTTCAGTTATTGCATGGTCCATTGGTGGAAAGAAAGAGAAAGTCGCGGCTCCTGAGGCTGGCTGAGGCTGCACAGGCTGGGGGGGCAAGGCGCACCGGTCTAATGCTGAGGCAACTGCACGCTTATCCACAAAGTGTGTAGATAAGGCAATATAGACAGACTAACTATGTTAGGATTAGCCTGTGCTTAGGACAAGCCAACCCCAGTAAAACTTCCCATCCTGCGATCGCAAAGCTTCGTGAATCCACATTGCCATTTCGCAAATAGAACATCATTAAGGATAGCTATCCCCCCCCCACGAAAACCCCACCGATCACGACGAGTTAAACCTTCCAAATTCAAAGTTTATAGGGAGTTCATACCAGGACATCTCTAGTGTGGCATCGTAGTCATGAATCGAACAGGTAGTGCCGACCCTCTCTCCCTCTGCCTCGCGTGCCCCGCCTGTTTGCTTTGAATCGTGATGTCGACCACATTGTTGTCGCGCTCCGTTACCCACTATCCGATCTTCTTCGACCAACTTTATATTTCCCGCTTCGAGACGTATAATATATAAAATAGGCCATTGGAGGCCCCAGGGTAGCTGTAGAGCCCAGGAGGATCATTTTTGTCACGTCCTTCTGGCCTCAGCCTTCTCGAAACATCAGCCTCGTCTAGGGGAGCAAGGAGACCACAAGCAACTATTGCGTACTAGATCTATAACAAATAGATATACCTCTCGTCATGAATTAACGAACACTTTGTTTCACTCATCGTGCCCCATGAAAATACTTCATACATACACTTGGCTAATACTGAACGTCCTCAGGAGCCGTGCCACAAACCCTTCGAGGGATACCGACTGGATTCGGAGGCCAACAACAACCCCAACAACCAGGTAGAACAGTGTCTAATAGGATACCGAACGGAAAATTAGGTATGATCGCGGGATCAAGGTGCCAGTAATTACTAGATCCGAAGCTGATGTTCTGTCGCATAAAAGCGAATAACGGAGCCGGATGGGCATTTGGTGGTGTTCCTATGGGGGGTGCAGGTCTACAAACATCGTCGAGGCAACTAGGAGGAAACCTCAGTTTTGCTCAAAGTTTAAGCGGTTCGCAGCCGGCAACGCCTCTCGACCTCTCGTAGGTATTTTCCATTCTGTGTTAGCTCTACTGTCACCACTACCGTCACTACTACCGTCACCACTACTGTCACCGCCACCGTGCACTTGTTTTTACGCAACAGCCAAATTTCGTCGTATAAACACAAACGTTCGTTTTACTCACTCACTATCCACATCCCTCGTCCCCGTCCATTGCTTCATCTAGTCTGGGTAGCTAGGCGGCATGGTGTCTTTGTCGCCAGGTCCTAAGGCGAGAAAGCCAAGACTCATACTTAAGACCCATACGCCACGTCCTACTACCCCGTCGCCCCTGGTAGTCCCAGATGTCGGTTTATCATATGCTACTGTTGCTGGACGGACAGATCAAGACAACTTGCCCAAAGCTAGCCCTTCTCCAGACCGTACAGACCGTACCAATCGGTAAACAAACATGATTTTTTCCTTGTCACGTTAAACCTGAGCACGCGTCAACACCAAATTCTTTTAGGTTGTAAAATTATATTTTGCTCTTGGAAGCTAATTTTTCTAGCAGCGAATTTCCGTCACTTTCCAACAATTCTCAATTACAAAGCGCAGGTGCAAGCTCTTTATGGTCAACAGGAGCATCAAGAGGTATGAGCGGTACAATACAGAGGAACCAGCAACCCACTCCACTCTCCTCTCAACACGCACAGCAGGACGATTTCTTTTCGCCTTCAAGGATGAGCTCCAGCCAAGGTCAATATCGTTTCGGGAACCAGAATAGCGTAGCCCAGTCATCGCAGCCTCAACCTAACAGTATCGACGAGTTTCCACCTCTGAATAATAACAGCATCAGAAACACCAACGGAGATATTGGTCAAGAACGCGGATCAAATCTAATGTCGACCCTCGGATTTGGTACTCAAGGTAGCGCCGCCCCTGGTTCCCTCCAGGGTCCTAGATCAGGAAATGGCCTGCTTAACGCGCTGTCTGCTAACAACCGAACAACCGATGTTCGTTCGCCAGATGGATCGACTGTCACAGGTATGCGGATTCCACAAGTTTCTTTTCTTTTTCTTTTGTCGCCACATTACAGTACGTTAATAGGTCTACAGGCTCTTCGCGACCGCAAGACATTAGAGGTACTGGAACCGGCGGTAACGACGAGGCTCGCCAAAAGCCCCCTGGATTCCAGGACAACTTGGTTTCTCAGCCATCTACGCAGGACCCGGCAGCCCTGAATCCGCTTGGTGCCATCGGTGCCATCGGTAGTAGCGACGCATCCTCGAACAAGAACGGCGACCAGAAGGATGATCAATCCCCGTCGGTACATGACCCTTTGGCAGGCATGGCACCTATTGATAAGTGGGGGATTAAAGGTCTTCGCACCCTTATGAACAACTATCCCGACTACAATGCAGCTGTTACAGGCTTGGATCCGACAACACTAGGCATAGATTTTACGTCGCCTCAGTAGGTTTCCCATCGCTCTTGTTTTTAGGTTTCTTTACTAATGTAATCACAGGCTGCTATCGACGCAAATCTACTCACTCTTCAATGATACCATTCCCCGACCAGCAATTCCCGACTTTCGGTTGCCAGAGTGCTATAACGTGAATAACGTACAGCCTCTAGAAAACAAGATCAGCAACTTCAACGAGGAAACTTTGATGTGGATCTTTTACAGTTGTCCTGGAGATGTCAAGCAGCATCTTGCTGCTCACGAACTGTAGGATGCCGCTCCACCATGTTGGCGACCTTGTGATACTGACACTTCGTAGCTACAACCGCGCCTGGCGATGGCACAAGAAGCTGAAGATTTGGCTGACTAAAGACGAACTAATGCAGCCCCGAATCCTCAGCACCCAGCACGAAGAGGGCTACTACATCATTTGGAGCACAACAGACTGGCGTAAAGAGCGTGTAAGTGACTGCATAATGTTTACTTTGACCCCCGAAATGCACCTATTGACACGATCTACAGCGTACTCTCACGCTGCATTATGCAGATTTAGAGGCCAGCAATGCTGCTTTGCCATAAAGGAAAGATCCTCGAGGGAAGATGGTTGTCTGTGATATTGAGCAGTATGCAAGGCGCAACGAGCCTACAAACAGGGTGGCGTTGGTTTTCACGGAATGCACAACCTAGGGGGCCACGGTTGATTGCGGGCAACATATGGCTTTCATGCTTGGTAGCCACGGGCGTAGTAAATGCCCGAGTCGGCAGACAGGCGTTGATTCATCAATATAGGATTTTCAAATCCATTGCACTGATCTTCTCTATGTGAATGATAATTTGTGAAAATGTCAAATGTAGCTAAGTTATAGTAAGTACCTAAATATGGTGACTAGTTTGATTGTAGGTAGGTAATTGGAAATTATACGCAAGTATTCCTCGCGATCTGACCGACATTCTCGAAGAACGTATATATCGTCGGGAGTTGACGTAACGATATCTGGGAGAGCTATGTCGATTATAAACGAATCCCATTGTGGATACGACTTGAATTCCAGGATCGCATTGTAGGCGGTCAGTGGCCCGGTATTAAGCATCAGTTTAGAGCATATGGTAAACATTGCTTCTTGAGTGCCGTACGTGGGTGTTACTAAGGTGGATGTAGAGAGCCGTAGTCGATTTGTCGACTTGCAAGAGAGGATGGAGTAGGAAGCGGCGCAGCACCGAGTGCGATGAGTAAGGATAAGAGCCAAGGCATCGCTGTTGGTATCCAGAATTTGACTCAGTTTTACTCATAATGACGAGAGATGGGGTTTTAGTGGGAATCGACGTGCTTATGGCTTACTTGGGAAGCGTTATAGCTGGCTCAGGTCAACCATGCTCAGAACGGCGGCCACATCTACATGGGTGTACTTCTCCACGTTTTCCGTTTCCCTATAGGCTATACTGAGCCAGGTCTGAGCATTCCAGGTAAGACTATATCCATAATCGTGCCTATTGTGTTTATCCCCATGTTTAACCTATGAACCTAGTTTCCGCGGCTTAGGCATTTTATAAGCCTTTGTTCTTCGACTTGTAATTAGTGCAATTAACATATAGTTACTTCACTTATCTGTTTCGGTATTAGTGGTTGACTGCGTAGAGCCTCATCTTCAGCTCTTAGCCCCAATGATAATAGTGCTAGATTCAGTGTTATTCCAGGACAATTTTCACAGCTAACTACCGCCTAACGAATGTTGATCTTTACTACGTGTATGATGTTAAATTGCGGAGTTGGGCCTAAACGGTTTCGATAATGAGCCACTCGCTGCAATGAGTCAACAAGAACGGATCCATCGTTATGCAGCTTCGCCCTGTAACCATGATACCAGGATAACAAACGGCTATTAAATTGTGTAAGTGTTTAATCGAAATAATGTATTTAATCGAACAGGTGGACTTGTTCTCGATTGACGGGAAACTTCCATCCCTTGTTATCTACCTTATAAGCTATTATTGAGCGCTTTCAAGTTTAAGGAACCGACTGCAATACAAAAACACCTACCTAACAGAGCGTCCCCAAAGCCTCAATGCCTGATGCTACTGAATTAAACGAAGATGACCTCGTCGAGTTGTCTCTCTTACGCGACTTCGAGGTAGATGAGCTTATTAGAGATGGATTCCTAAGCGAGAACGAGCAAATGACGGGGCCCCTAGACAAGGAGCTTGTCTTGAAGTACGGCGAGCTGAATTTGTACATCACCCCCGAGCCCCTATATCCAGCTGCATCCGTTACTTGGAAGCTTGAGAGCTACGAATTATCGCGAGAATCGATAATCGAACTTCGCACACAACTGAAACGGATTGTAGAGGGTGCCGCAGCTACTAATAACATCTCAAGATGGAACAGTCGGGGGGAGAGTGCATACGGGGCTTTCGAGCCAACCATGGCAGTTTATGAGCTTGCCAATGCGACAAGGACATATTTGAAATCATGGCGCGAGAGGTTTGCGAATAAACCAAAAGGCCGTATTAGGTCAAATCTTCTCCCATTTCAGGAGAAGCCAGCGGCTCCGATAATGACATCCAGCGAGACAGCATACTATTTCCTACGGCAAACGCCCCAAGAAATCTGTTCCAAGATTCCCTCCTGTTACAGAGTTCTCCACGTGGAGGAAGTTATAAGGTCTGACCTAGCCGGTAGATTCTATAAGAAGCAAATGGAAATAAGGGAAAGGCTGTCCAAATACTCTATAGTAACACTTCACGGTTGCGTACCTGCAAGCTTACATCATACCAAACGAAAAGAGGTGTATATAGATCATCTCGTAAAACCTACGATGACCTTCCATGGGACTCAAAGACAACTCGTGCCGTCTATAATACGCTACGGATTTCTCAAGCCTGGCCAGAAGAACCCGGGTACGAGCAAGGCGCATGGGATTCGCTGTGGCTCGAGGTACGGCAGGGGAATTTACAGCTCTCCGAACGCAGACTTTTCTCTGAGCTACACGGGCAGCTCATGCCAGGCCACCAAGCCTAATGAGTATTTTGGGATCAAGCTTCTCGTATGCGCGACGATTATGGGCCGCTCAGCCGATGTTCATAGTGATGACGATTGGAGGGATCAAAGCGAGGCCTACCCCGGGGCCGACTCACACGTCGCTAATCGCGGACTCGAGTACATCGTCTTCGATAGTGCACAGATCATTCCAATATATGTGATACATATCGACTGGGGCCACGACAATTACGAGCACTTTGAGGAGCTCCCTAGTAACCCAGAGCGCTTCGTTCCAACAAATCAGACAAGGCACCCGAAGCTTTTACAAGGCGTCCGCTGGCCGGGTGACATACAGCGCGAGAAAGATGCTGTTTTCGCCCGAGCAGCGAAGTGGTTCCCGTACGGCTACGGGCCGTCGACTGGATCCAAGTTTGTGGTGGAAGAGGTTGGCGAGGCCGACGAGGATGAGGAGGAATATGGAGACTACCAGGCACTCCGAGGTGAGGAGATCAAGGATAAGACGAACCTGAATTTCTGGAGTTGGGTCAAGGTTGGCGAGGAGATAGATGTTGTTGAAGAAGGTGGGCATGCGGATGAGTATACAAAGGATCGCCGCTGGTATAGTTCTAAAACATCGGAGATGCCGAACTGGGACATGATCCCTTTACCTGAGGGGGAAGAAGAATATGTCGATATTGAAAAAGATGATGATTTAGGTATAGGCCGGCTGATGGTTTGACTTGTGCTGTCTCGTCATATTACTTACTGATAGGTATTATTATTTAATTGGTATATAATATTTTGATTATATGATATTTTGATAGACTGAAAGATTAGTAAGTAATGAATTTAAATTCCTAAGAATAGAAAGCTCATTGGAAGCAGCTCATTAATAAGTACGGATCCGTTAGAAGCATTGAAAAGTTCCCCGCGGTGTAACCCACTAATGCACGAATGGTCCAAGCTCCTATGTTTACACCCACTTCGCTTGTGGCCAATGATCTGCCGGCAATCGATACCGCCGCCCACAATCCCTACCTTCACTTGGACGTATCTGCGAATTCCTTCTTTTTTTACCTTGTTAATTCTATCTATTAGCTATCGTCAACCGACACCAATCGCGCCCCGATTCGCGCTCCTTATTCTCCAACGACATCATTTTTGTCTCCGTCTTCATACAATGCTTAATTGAACCTTGCTTGTTTTAATTGTTTCTTGTTACGTCTTGCTGGCAACCCGTACGCGACCTAATCTATAATAGACGCGTTTCTCGACACATTCGCGATGGTCGGGCCACGAGCGGCGCGTCTGCCGGTCGGCTCCGCGCCATGGATCTCAGAAGAGAGATCATCAGCTCTGCAGATTGCTCAGTCGGAGGTTGAGGAATTCTCTTTCTCCGCTAGGAACGACTTCGACTGGTTGAATGAGCATATGGCCGAGATATTTAGCGAAAATCAAATGTACGTAGACACTTAGGTTCTCATGGGAGGCCCTTGAAGCTAACTATTACGATAGCAACGTTGCCGAAATATTTAAAACCCCAGGAAAACTACGAGGCAAGACTCCTCGAACGGCCCGGAAAATAAATGCGGGAGAAGCTCGTGTCGTGAGTCTCGTTGGGCCGACCTTTGTAATATCAACACTAACGCTTTTCAGCCCCTCTCTAACATCTTTTCCGCTACGCCTAAAGGGGCTCTGAATCCTTTTATCATACCTAATAAGAATCGAAGTAACACGCCTAAGATTGAAATTCCTGCAGACCCCCAACCATCCCCTCTTAAGGCAGTTGCGCCAGAGAGTCCCTTGAAACATACGGCTTCTCCGAAACACACGTCCTCGGCCCAGCCGTTTTCTGTTGTGGATTCTGGATATCATGGTAGCCAGTCCCAGGACATAATGGATGTTGATCACGATGTAGTGGATGATGAAGTAACACAACCCTTTAGTCCACAGGTGGACACGCAGGGCGACGATTTAGCTTTTGATACCTCTCCCAACCACCGTGAGCATGATAGTCCAGCTCCTCACTCACCAAACCCTACAGTTGATACGAACGTGGGTGACCTTGACACACAGTATTTCACTGCCCACGTTCCAGTAGGGACGTCATCTGATAAAGTAGATGCTCCCCAGGAGAGCACTACGCCAGCAGGTTCGCCTTTACGGTCGCCTACCTCGCCAGAAACCTCGCCCGCAGAGCATTCAGCTGTTGTTGGTATATTCGGCGCTGAAGTTGAAGACGATGTCTTGGAAGCAGATGCAATGGAAACCGTACCTGAGGAGGAGCCGTCGAGATCATCTTCTGATAGCTCAAGTCCTATTCGACCTATTGTTCGGAAAAGTAGTCTCAATTTTGCTTCCTTACCTGCAAGAGAGCCTATCACGCATAAAAGCATAGGCAACCGGGTATCAAGGACCAGCCACTTGGAGCAGAATCGAACGAGTTACTACAACCGACATACTGGAGGAAAGAGTCTGGGACACACAAGACATGATCTTACGGATGATGAGAATGATGATATGGACATTGACGAGGACCCCTCTACCCAAGAGCCTCAACCGCAATCGGTGTTAGATAATACGATCACGCATAACAAGACTTATACGCAACGCCTTCAGGACCAAATCAGCAAATTGGGCCAGGCGCAAACACAGAATTCCAGGACTTCCAAGTCAATTGCGGATCCTTCTGTCGCTCAGCCAACAACAGTCGCAGTTCCTGCCCCTCCGTCTTCGTCTCAGGAAAAGCCGCTGCCTTCGCCCCAAAAGACTAAAACTCCAGGCGCTTTTCCGGACGAAGACGACGAAGATGACTGGATTGGGCCTCTTGGTTCGCCTGAGAATGCGTCCGACTTTCGTAGTCCTCGGCCTGGACTGGCCAAAAGCTATACTGCCGACGTAATGGAGGGTGTGTCTGGTAAAGATACCGTGAGCGGTAGCGATTTTGCAGTGCCGAAGACTTGTCAGGACCAACCCAAGTCTCCCGAGCGCCCTCCGGTTGAGGAACGGGCAACTAATACTTTTGGCCATCATAAGTCCGCATCCGTGCCGTTGTTGCCGCTTCAAGAAGCTTCGAGGGCTGATGGAGATGGCCTTGCAAAGACTGCCTCTGCGTCTAATCCACCCCTTGCCACTGTCCATGAAACGGATAGGCCTACTACACCTACGAAGTCACCATCGCGAGGTTTCAAAGATAGTCCCTTAAAACAGGTCAAGAACAAGCTGTCGTCGATTCTCAAAGGTTCTAAGGGCTTGCTAGCTAGTAGCGCTGCTATTAGTGCCGAGGGGAAAACCTCGCTTTTGTCACCTTCTAGCACTAGATTGGGCCTCCATATATTTCCGTCTACTGATACACTTGCTTCTCCTAAAGGAAAGGATGTGCAGCCCCTCTACCCGGATCTATCTCGTCTTGCCGTGGATACCCAGACTCTCGAAAGAGTAGGTAGTCCGACACGACCAGAGGCTCGAAGAACGAGGGCTTCAATAGAGCGGGAAAAGGCCGAGGAGAAGCGTAAAGAAAAGGAGGCGAAAGAAGCTCGACGGATGGCCGAGCAAATGGAAAAGCTCGAGAAAGCCCGCGAGAAGGAGCGTGAGAAAGCTCACGTATTCAGCCAAGAGCAAGAAAGAGTTACCGCGATGGAGAAACAGGTTGCTGCCCAGAAGGAGCAGGAGAAGAAAATAGTCATGCAGACTCCAGGCAATACATCGAAATCGATCCGACCTAGTCCGCGAAAGACCAAGACGCAACCTGCTACCGAAGAGAAACCAGCGGCTAGTAGTTCTTCCGACGAAAAGCAGGTAGATGATGTTGACATGGTTGATGCACCCAACCCAATGCCGCCGCCGTCGGCTCCTCGATCTATTGCACCTCCTTCGGCTACCAAGGGTCGAGAGATTAAACGGCCTATCAGGCCTGGAAAAGAACCAGTAGCCAAGCCGAAACAAGCACCCACCGTAATTCGCGTAAATATGGGTTCGCAACATTCTCAATATCACCCATCCAACAGTTCTCTATCATCAAGCCTTCAAGAGACACTTTCCCAATCTCAAGGCAAAAATAAATCTAACCAGCTTCCACTACACAAGCAGTCGTTGCAGAGTCTTAAGAGCTCAACGTCGTCTTCGGGCCGGCCAAAAGCACTTGATGCGGCGGCCAGAAGGAAAGAGCAGGAAGAACGCGAGGCGCAACGCAAACGTGACGCAAAGGCTGAATTAGAGCGCAAGAGAGCTGCCATGCAGGAAGAAGAGAAGCGTCAAGAACAACAAAGAAGGACGGAAACTGAGCGGCAGAAGGAGGAAGAGCGAAAGCAGACTGCGGAGGCCAAGAAGAATGCGCAGAGACAAGCAATGCTCGAAAGGGCGAAGCAGACTAGAGCTCCCCCGCCGGCGGCTAGAAGCCAGCCAAACGGCCCCCCGGATTACAGCCGTGCCGAAGCTTCTATTCCTCGTCCGCCCTCCCGCTTAGCTTCGAATCTGCAGCGTTCCCAAGAGGATATTGGGCGTCCAGTCAACGCGGTCTTGTCGAATGCATCCAAGGCACCTACAAAACGACCATTGCAACAGGATTATAAAGACGACAACACCCGTCAAGCTCCTGCTCGTACCACTACGGGCTACCAGTCAAAAGAGTCGAAGCGAATGCGCATGACTGACGAGTTTGATGACGATGTTGAGACCGAGAAGCAGCCGAGCTTGAAAGGGGCGCCTGTGCGCCCATCAGGTGGCTATAAAAAGGTAATTTCTTATTTAACAAGATATATGGATAGGAGGCTAATGCTTATTAGGATATGCCGACTAAGTCGATGTTTACATCTGGATATACAAATGTGCCGTTAAATAACAGGGATCTATTCAAGACTACTGTTACGAACCAGCACAACAGCCAAGTTAAGACTGCACACCCGTTAGACATGGCTCAGGTGTCCAAGGCTCCTATCCCCTTTGCGCCCAATCCAAACGCGGCTGGATCATCTTTCAAGACACCTGCGCGACCTCAGGGAGTCATGACCGCCAAGTCCACCGCCAAGTCTGCGACGAGATCTTCTCCGCGATTCCAGAATGGCGAGTTGATTGACTTGCCAGAGATTAATACGGACGATGAAGACGATGAAGATGATGACGGTGGAAAGGATATGGTTGCATCTTGGGCCGACTCACCAAACCTCCGGCAGGCACTTGTGGAACAGGAGTCCAAAGATCCTTTCCAAGTTTTCGGAGCGCCAGGGCCCTTGAATATGGAGGAAGTGTTCGCCAAGAGCAAGGATCGATTCCATAAGTTCCGCGCTCGAACTTCGAGCGCCAACTGGAGCGGCTCTGATAGGCTAACAGAGGAAGATATCCGAAAGGATCTTGCGGCACGGGACAAGATAAGACGGGATGGTGGATGGAGCTATGAAATGAGCCGAGATATGGTATAGAAATTAAGAAGGCCGGCTACTACTGGGCCCCACGGGGGGGTTAAAGGGACCAGTTTCAGCGGGAATTATTGCATCAAAAAGGGGTTGTTGGTCTACCTTGATCATGATATTCTATGGCTTGGCTGAGGGTTTTGGCGTTTACGGTATTAGGGAAAGGTCATTAAGGCTCATGGACATATGAGAACTTAAAACGCAGATAGGGTTGGCTTGGCCTGATCTCAACGTAGGGAAATATAACTAAGCCTCGAATGAAGATGGCCTTTGATACTTCATAATATTTCGATGGTAACTTAACAACTGTAACATGTGTGTCTTCTCTTAGGGGGGGACGTGGTTTAATGCGCCAATGACGACATGTGTTTCATTGGGGGCGATCTATGGGGGGCGAGATGGTAATGACGGAGTTTTATGAAAGACATGCAGCAAGGAACCGGTCCTTCGGGAAGCTACCTACCTACCTCCTAAGGTACCTAACCTAGACAACTAACCTAGGTTAGGTAGATAGGGTCTTGACGAAGAGGCGCTAGGATCTGGGTAACATTGCCTACCAGTACTGCTACTTTAGGTAATCAGATTCGAGCCCTACATATATAGCATCAAGCCGACACTGTCGAGTCCAAACGCATAGCTGTATGTTGTACAAGATTCGTATAACAAACAAATGTTTTCCCCTATTTGTACGGAGAATATAAAAAGGTAGTTTATGCACGTCTACAAAAGTTGACGTCATTTTCAAGTTGCTTAACTAGTTTTCTTTAGGCATTTGTGTTTTAAAACGCCACTTACAATACAGTACATATAGGAGGTATTTTATGTAGTAAAAACTGGATTTTTACTATTGAATACATTCATTATATGTATATTACCTAGTATATAGAAACGCTACATACCAGCCAACTAGAAGCATCCTAGACGGATTCGATACCTAGGTACCAGATGCTCACCTGCACTATGTAGATGACATGCATTAGGTTATGCTACATCACACGGACCATTTCATATCGACAAGGGCTTTACCATACACGAGATTTTCAGCATCGTCAGCTTGCATAATATTTAAGTCGGTTGATCTACCCTCTTGACCCCTTACCGAAGGTATGATCAGACGAATCTCTCTAAAAATATAAAAATACAAACAACACCGAAATCTTGAGAACTATTAGTGAAATTAGGAGGTAACTTTAGATATTTCGTTTCCTTCGGTTTATTTCCAATCTCAATAATCTCTCTATTCTCCACCCGCCAAGTCCCACTAAACCCCACTATCCCACCTTCCTGCAGACGGGACTACCTAATGTACAATACATATCTAGGTACCTGGCTAGGTATCGTTCAGGGCACCGTTGTTGCCTTTGATCACCTTAAACCTTAATAATCCACCATCCATCCACCATCCATCATCCACCCCACCCCGTCACCTAGTTACCCAGTCAGCCCGTTACAACAGCAGAACGGTTAGGTGGTGTATTGGTACACGCGAACACAACTGTAATAATCTACAACTTCTATTTACTTTATTCACCTTGTCAAAGCCGCGTATTTGCCAGCTTATTTTCTCCAAGAATTATTTGGAAATTTCTATCGGTTGAGACTTCAGCATATTCCGTAAGCTCCAGCCTTTTCCCCCGCTGGTGCCTGTCACTCATATCGCGATAAAAACAAATCGGGCTGCGCTCCTTGGTTACCTACGCTTTCATACTCCAAAATTTCCATTCCTGGTATTGTCACCGAAAACAAATTACCGAATCAGCTCCCTTAACTCAACTACTCACATACTTGCCATTCAACTGCTCCTCCATTCTCACAAGCCAACAGCCCTTCGCTTTGGAATGATAAAGCAGAATATTTTTATTACCCTATCGCATGTCGCATATCACTTCTACTCGCTCTAGACTTTTTTCCTAGAGCTGTCATAATGCCGAAGTGGGACAAAACCCGCGATTATTACGCGGACTTGGAACTGTCCGCAAGTGCTTCTACCGAAGAGGTCAAAAAGCAATTCAAGAAACTGGGTAAGTTTCGTCCGAGCCCCCTCACAGTATCTTTACTATCCGCCCTTAGCTAACTCCTACATGTCTAGCGCTCAAATACCACCCAGACCGCAATCCAGGACGAGAAGCTGAAGTGAATCCGAAGTTCCAAACTATCCAGTCTGCCCACGAAATACTAAGCGATGAGACCTTGAGAAGGCAATATGACGATGCTCGCAGGACGTATTCCATACGTAACCCTAGAGGATCTGGTGTTCGGGGTAATCCATGGCAAGATATTGCCAAGCAGTATCCGCCGCCGCCGACGCGACATACGTCGCAGAGGTCTCCTACTAGACCTTATTCGGGAGCCCAGCGTTATACAGGCTTCACTACGAATATGCCTCGAGCGCCTAAAGCTACCCCTCGAGACGACCCCCAATCTCGCAAGAGTTATGCTGACGCCTGGGAAAATATGAGGCCAAACGCCTCCCGAAGAGCGCCTCCCCAAACTCCTGGTCGAGCACCAACATCAGCAGCACGTAATACAAACCCGTCAGACTCGGAATCCGTACCGCCTAGAACTGCATATCAGCAACAGAAGGCCCAGGCATCGTTTGGCAGCAGGCGGACAGGTTTTATACCGCGCTCCCCTGGACAAGCGGACGAGCCTCCCGTCACGAGCAAGAACTACTTTACGACTCGGACACATCCAACCACGTTCACCGAAGTACCATCCGATACGACACCAGCTGATTCTCGCACGTCCACTACAGCAGACCCACTTGCTCAATTTACAGAGAAAGTTTGGGACGAGCGGCAGAGCATGCCTTACCATTCCCCTGGCGGGGAGAAGACAAGTTTATTTGACGACGTGCCAGGAATAGGACGAACTACGAGCACACGATCACCCCGCAAAGCAGACGTGCCTGGAGCATTCCCCCAATCACGTGCCCGAAGTTCTAGCACGCCGCGGAGTTCTAGTAACGACGGGGAGTCTGAGGATTCAAGAAAGGTTGGCAAAGGCACCAAGCCATCAACTGATCAACAGGTCCCTAGCGGCAATAGTACCTTCCATTCGCGATTTAACGATAGGTATAAGCATTCGGCCGAGGCGAACGGTGTCTATCCACCACCCCGACCAGGAACCGCCGAATCCCCACCGACAACGAATGCTAGTAAACGTATGTTGCCGACTTAGATTCATGGTGTCATTTCTAGTTTTGAGACTAATTCCGTATTTGTAGCAGGTCCCAGCTCTACCCAGGCTACCAACGGTCCTTCAGTGTATGCACCACCATTTCTCAGTCCTTCCAGCTCATCCAATCCCCAACACCACTATATCAGACAGACAAACGACCACATAAGTGATCATTTATCTCATTCTATTAATGCGAGCCGTTATTATCCCGCCCCCCAGGTTCACAACCCTTCGAGTGGAGGGATTAAGCTTGAGCAGAATCCTTGCCTACTCCCTGTTGAGGAGAAGCAGAGAATCGCGGTTAACAGTCTTATCAATAACCGATCGAATTATAGTCGAAAATCCGGTACCTTTTCATCGGAAGTCAATGATGAAGTCGAACATTGCACATCTCCTACCAAGAAGACTAGACTCAATACTGACCAAAAATACTCTTCTAGCTTCACTTTCCCGGCCGGAAGCAACGTACACAGCCAGGGTGCTGGACTCACCAGAAATAGCGCCGACAGCATCAATACTAGGTTTGTTGATGATGAGCTGCCCGAGGATTGGAAGTTTAGTGCCGGTACAGCCTCGGCAAGTGATCCCCAGACGCCAACCAGGGTACCACCTCATTCGCGCAGCCGTGTAGGTCGGCGACCAGTCCCGAAATCCAGACATACGGAGACGGATAGCGTTCCATCGACGCAGAGTGGTGGTGTAGGAAATGGAGCAGGACTTGGGTTTACACCTTGGGACTGGGGTGAAAAAATAGAACCCCGACATTTCGAGCCACAGCCACCACGTAGTACCTCTAGCTCTCCATCTCGCCGCGCGAACCCGAAGAAATCCAAACCTGTTAAGATGACGGCGGGCACGGCTGGATTGGTAGATGAGGAGGAGAGTGAGGGATGGCAAGAAGTTCACCAATCTTCTGGATCTGCGCCAGCTAACGTGGATACCGCAAGCGCTATGGATATTGACTCGCCCCCGTCGGAGAAGGCCAACGACACCCCTAAGGTGTCTCAGATGAATGGTGCACGCAAAATACCCGTCGAGCCTCACAGAGAAGAGTGGAGAGCAGGTAACGTCAATGATGTACGTGCCAAGTCCACGAGTCCGACGCGAGATGGAAATACTGCAAAGGGAAATTTCGCCCAAACTTCTGCTCCTGATACAGCTTCCATTCCCGCGGCGCACCCCTTTGTCGCCCAGCATGGGTCGGAAGATACCGATGAGTTCCGCACTACATTCTCAGACTTCAAGAGGGTAGAACCATTTATCGATCCAGCTCCCAGGGGCCTTGGAGATTTTGGGGATCTGAAGACTACATTGCCCTTTCAGAGTAAGCCTTCGGATCAGATCCCTCTTGACAAGGAACCTGCGCCCAGGCCTACAACACTCGAATTCCCAGCTCCGCCAGTTGCTCCACGGCTTCCCCAGGCTGTACTTACGGCGGGTATTCGCCCTAATCAGGTACAATTCAGTAAATATGCACAAGACTTCTATCAGTATATGGACAAGTGGGAAGGCTTCAATGCTAGAATCATGGCTCATTTCACTACTCGCCAGGAAAATTTCAAGATCCGTCGTCAACAGCGAGGAGTAGCGTGGCTTGATACATCTTTGGGGGGTAGCGATGCTGCACGCGACTACCTGGCAGAGCTTGAGCAAGATCAGCTAGTCCGTCAACAGTGGCTCAGCGCCCATGCAGATCATCAGGCCAAGATCCGCGAATTCATGATGTTCAGGGACCAGGTAAAATAGTACGGCCGGTCTTACGAACAGCAGTATGTTAATTTTGGCGATCCTGATGTATCCCGCACAAATGCCGCGCCATTTCGTCCCACCTTCTTATATTTTGGTAAGACATCTCCTTACTGACGGTCCATTGGAGTATGCAAAAATACAAGGCATCGGCAAGTCGGTCTATTGGTAGAAGCGCTACATACGACATCTTAGGTGTTATAGACGCGTAGGAATCGACTATGTTATCGTCTATTTAGCTAGGGCCAATATCGTTTGTCGCCAGTACGATCATTGGCGTATTGGTGTTTGTTTCTACGGGTTTGGCTACCTGTAGGATGGGTTTGGAGAAGTGGGAAATACTAGAGTCACGGAATGGTATGTCAAGTCTCTACCAACTGATGGAGTAAGAAGAAACGAACGGCAAAGAGAGGTAGAGAACCCGGTAGCTTCAGAATAAAGCTGTAGGCGTGTATCTCCCCATAGTACAGCCCGGGAAGATAATTCACGCCGACTTAGGGTGTGTAAGTGAAGGTCAATAGCCCTCACCTGGGCGTTGGCGGGATGGGAATTTTGCTTTTGCTATGAGTTTGAGGGTCAGCAATAGGTAGTCTCGGTCTCGGTCTCGGTCTAGGTCTCAGTGTGGCGTTGAGCGGCTCCAGGGGATATAGGCGTGCTTGGAATGGCAGGGTGATGATACCGACAGGATACCGATACTACGATATACAGATAATTGCGGGCTCTAATGCTATACTCGACACGAGCGTAGCGATGGATAATACGGATAGGTGCTCTCTTCATTCAACATGGTGTGCGCGCGTTGATATCAAGTGGTGATCCCGCAGCTGTTTACTGTATTACGTGCGTATATAGAGTTTTATGGAGTTTTATGGAGTTTTATGAAATAACATTCGGCTTTCGATTTACTAACCACAATAGGTATACTCATCTCATATAATCCGGGCCGACTTTAACGCCTAAATTAACACCAGAGGATTACGGGTAGTTATTTATTATGTATAGTTATTTATTATGTATAGTTATTTATTATGTATAGTTATTTATTATGTATAGTTATTTATTATGTATAGTTATTTATTACATAACTAACCTAAGCCTTTGCTAACATACACTATTGTTATAACATCTCTTTGTAACGTCGACCCAATCTCAACTAAGCGATAACCTATGATATTTATGTCATTAAAATTATTCAAAATGGAAATGATAGCAGCTGATTGTATATAGACCAGATATGGAACATTCAACCATGTCAACACAGATAGGATAGGAAACACTTACTCCGAGCCACCTCGTATTTCCGACCATGTGCGTATCTCCGACGACGTGTTGGACAAGCTTCAGACAATCTATCCCGTGTGCGGAATAAGGGGCTTTCCCCCCTTGGCCAATTAAACCCCGATTAAAGGCTCTTATATTAGTTATAGGCGAATACGATTGGCTACGATGACTACCTGGCTCCGAATCCGCGGGTTTTATTGGCTTGTCGCCTTATGTCCGCTGCAGGGGACGGACTTGTGAAAGCCTTCCAACACCTCTGCCGGATGAGAAGCCGGATGACTCTGCGTCGGATCTGCAACAAGCTGAGCGGATGCGCTGCAGACCTGGTTGGGTTAGGTAGGTAGCTAGCCCTATGAGACGATGGTGAGGTGGCTAGGTTGGCTGTATCGCCGCGGTGCGTGAGACCGAGTGATACGGGATGGCTTGGGTACCTAACCTACTTAATCTTAGGCATATATATATATGTTACGACTAACTTACCTTCTCGCAACTTATCGAACGTTCTCATCGCATGAAAGAGAAGATATTTAATAATAACAATACCCCGCCATGTCCCTCTCCTTTTCCAAACTAGGCAGCATCATTCCTAATTCCGAACTATCACCATCATCCAACATGGACTCCCTGCCCGAAGAAATCCTCATGGGCGTCATGGACAAGCTGGACCGCAAGGCCGACCTGTCTACCATCCTCAGCCTGCGCGGGGTCAGCCGTAAATGGTGCCGCGTCGCGACCCCGTACGTCCACATCGCCGTCCAGAACTACCGGCCCCAGACCGCCGACGCGCCCTGGAACTTCCACCGCTCCACCGATCTCCTATGCTACCTCTGCTGGAAACTCTCGCAGAAGCCGCACCTCGCCCGCTTCGTCAAGGAGGTCGCTTCCCGCCCCTGGAAGGATGCCCTCTGGAAATCGACCGTTGCCAAGGCGGACTTGAGCGTGCGGTACCGCGAGGCGCTCGCGGGGGTTGGGTCTGCTGTTCCGGACGACGTGAAAGCCGGCATTGTCGCCGAGATGCTGTACGACGTGGGCGACGCGCTGCTAGCCTTCGTGCTGATTCTGTGCACCGACATCGAAGTCCTCATGGTCCCGGCTCTCGATAGGGGATTCGGGCCGTGGACGAGACAGGTGCTTCGATGCGCGCACGCACAGCTCCAGGATCCGCCGCGGGATGGCCGAGAAGCTATGCTCAGCGCCGTTCGATACGTCCAGCTGGGCGACTACGTGGATGGCTTGTGTCTCGGAGACGCCCTGCATGTGCTTGCCCTGCCGAAGCTACAACATCTCGAGCTTGGGAACCTGGGAGATACTACCGTCGACGGCAGCCAGCCTTTACCACCGCACATCCCCGAGCACCCTAAAGCTCACCTGCAGAACCGTGGCCCAGTCGACATAACGCTCGAGTCGTGCCGTCTTAGCGGTACGGGTCTGACCACGCTACTTGCCGCATGCGGCCGCCCGCGCTCCCTCTTCATCAAGATGCGAACCGGCAACGTGCAGCCCTCGCGGGCACCATGTTTCGCCGAAGCGCTCGAGCTACACGGCCAGAACCTCGAATTCCTGTACCTCGACACGACAGCGTTTGAGGACGGGTTATCCAGTGCCACCGACCCCAACACCCAAGCCCCGACCCCATGCGCCCGCTTCCTGCGCGCCCTATCCTCCCTCACCAACCTGCAGTTCCTAGCGCTGTCCCGCGCCGACTTCCCGACGCCCGCGGACCTCGGAGCCGCGCTGCCGGTCGGGCTGCGCGAGCTGCTCGTCCTGGAAGTAAACGACGACGAAGAAGAAGGCGACGGCGCATACCGGGATCTAGTGCGCGGCCCGGATACCCCGAGGCTCGAGCGCGTCGTATGCCAGCGCACCACGTCCAGCAACGACACGGGCGCCATGTACGACGGCTGTCTGCGGAACAGGAAGTTACCTAACACCCGGGTGTTGGTGAAGAGCCGGTGTACGGTGTTTACGTGGTGCATAGGCAAGTAAGCGAAGCCGGCGAGCCGTGTTGGGTCTGTGTGAAATAGACCCCCATGTACAACTACATACTTTTGTTATGAACGGGAAACACGCTCACCAAGATGGAGTCTGCTCCAGAGCAGACCCGCAGCTTTGTATTGTCTTGTAATATTAGCCCTTTATGCTTGCTTCTCGGTTAGCTCTCGGATGGTCCTCTCGATAGAACAGTACCTAGGTAGATTAGGTACCTAGGTAGGTATATAATCCCCAGGTGTATATATGATGAAAAGGAATGAACCTAATCTCCTACGCTAATCGCGCGTCATTGCTATACTAGTACATAATCGCAATGTGATCTATAATGAATACCCTTTGAACGGGACAGGATCTTTTTATTTCATATATGATATATAGTCTCAGTTAGATATCTATAAAGGTGTTATAAACTGAAAAGAAATTCCCCTTATTTAGAAGGGGAAAGTTTCAGGAGAGGGGAGGAGTGAAGTAAAAAAGAATTATAAGGAGGGGGAAAGTTAGCTGTAAAGTATTTATGGCATATACGCGTTACATACACAATAAATTGTGGCAATCTCTAATTCGTCCCGTCCAAACGTGACCTCTTAAACAGCCGACTGTATCTGAGTTTCTTTCTCTTGCCTTAACCGATCAATAGTATGCGGGAATAAACTCGACGCAGGCATTCAATACGACCATACGAATGAATACCTAAGCATCGTAACCTTAATCACTAACCTAGGTGTTTTAATGAAGCAATGCAAACACGAGATTCTTTTTGTCAAAGACGATCCATTTCTTTAGGACTATGTAATCCACCGCATCATCAACCCCGGGCGTCGAAACCGAATTTGTTCATGCAAAGGGCATAACCGAACCTGACCTGAGATGTCTCAAGGTAACTGGTAATTATCACTACCACCATTCCATTCCATAACATTCCATTTCTCGTCGAACGTAAGCCGTAATAAATTAAATCAACGACGCAAGCAAGTGCTGCATTTGAAATTGTCGATTCTTAAAAGACCATTCGTTTTCCCAGCGAAACGCCGAACCCGTGGATGTAAATCAACGCAAAAAAAAAAAGGCCATCCGTTTCCTTTACCAGTCGATAGGGTCCTTGAGTTCCTGTCCGCGGTTTGTTGCGGGTACCGGCACCGGCTTGGCCGCTAATCGGCCGCCACGTCCTTTCCTCTTCAGGTATCCCGTGCCGTCGACCCAGGGGGTCCTGATCGAGGCCTTCTTCTCGTAATCGACAATCTTGTCCTCAAGCTGGAGGGTCAGGCCGATATCATCGAGGCCGTTAACCAAACAGTGCTTGCGGAACTCCTCGACCTCGAACCCGCAGAGCTCGTTGCCGGCAGCGTCGCGGATGACTTGGTTGGGAAGATCAATTTCGATCTCCTTACCAGCACGGGCTTCCGCGGCAATTTTGTCGAGGTCGGCCTGATTCGTGATGGCGATGGGTAACATGCCGTTCTTGAAGGTGTTGTTGAAGAAGATGTCGGCGAATGACGAAGCAATGATACATCGAATACCGAAATCGTTCAAGGCCCAGGGAGCGTGTTCTCTTGAGCTACCACATCCGAAGTTAGGCCCTGTGCAGACTAAGACCTTGGCATTCGTCCATGGCTCTTGGTTAAGAACGAATTCGGGGTTAGGCGTGCCATCCTCGTTGAATCTCCAATCATAGAATAGAGCAGTGCCGAGCCCAGTTCGCTTGATAGTCTTGAGGAACTGCTTGGGGATGATGGCGTCGGTATCGACATTAGCTCGATCTAGAGGAGCAGCAATTCCCCTATGGACAACGAATTTCGGTAGACCCTGTGAGCCGGCAGCCTCCGTAGCAGTGGTGTTAACATGCGGCGAAACGTCCTCAGGCTGATCAGTGAGTCGTTCTTTGGCGGTGTCGTCGTCCTCGATACTCTCATCGACGTGCGCCTTGCCAAATGATGTTGCGGGATTCAGTTTGTAAGCTTCAATATGGGGGCTAGCCTTGTACTCGGTCAACTTTCGGACGTCGGCAAGCTTGCCAACAATGGCAGCCGCCGCCGCCATGACCGGGGACATCAAATGTGTCCTACCCTGGGCACCTTGTCTACCCTCAAAGTTTCGGTTGCTTGTGCTTGCACATCGTTCCTTAGGCGATAGAATATCGGGGTTCATACCAAGGCACATACTGCACCCCGCTTCTCTCCATTCAAACCCGGCGTCAAGGAAGATCTTATCAAGACCCTCAGCTTCAGCTTGGTCTTTGATGACTCCGGAACCAGGCACAATCATAGCGCGCTTGATGTTGTCAGCCTTCTTCTTGCCCTTGACGACTTGGGCAGCAGCTCGGAGATCCTCGATTCGCGAGTTTGTGCAGGAACCAATGAAAACCTTGTCAACAACAATCTCTTCCATAGGGGTGCCGGCAGTAAGACCCATGTATTCAAGCATCCTTCGGCCAGCCGCCTTCTTCGCATCGGTCTTAAATGTTTCAGGGTCGGGTACAACACCGGTGATGGGAACAACGTCTTCGGGACTTGTACCCCAGGTCACAGTTGGAATGATATCCTTGGCATCGATTTGGACATCAACATCGTACTTAGCGCCGGGGTCCGACTGGAGAGTCTTCCAGTACTCGATAGCACGATCCCATTCGGGCGTACCGTAAGGAGGAGCCAGAGGCTTGCCCTTAAGGTACTCGAAGGTGATCTCATCAGGGGCCACCATACCAGCTCGAGCACCAGCCTCGATTGACATGTTGCAGATAGACATACGAGCCTCCATACTTAAGCTACGGATGACAGAGCCGCAGAACTCAATGACACAGCCAGTGCCGCCAGCGGTTCCGACCAAGCCAATAGCGTGGAGCACGACGTCTTTGGAGCTAACACCAGGTGCCAGCTCACCTTCGACTTGTATCCGCATGTTCTTGCTTCTCTTGGTGATGAGGCACTGGGTGGCTAGGACGTGCTCAACTTCACTGGTACCAATACCAATGGCAAAGCAGCCGAAAGCGCCATGTGTAGAGGTGTGGCTGTCACCACAGACCAAAGTGGTACCGGGGAGGGTGAAACCTTGCTCGGGGCCGATAACATGGACAATACCCTGACGTTTGTCGCCCAGACCGAAGTAGGTGATGCCGAATTCTTTCACGTTCTCCTCTAGAGTTATACACTGTATGCGAGAGTCGTCTTGTTCGATGAAGGTGGCAATGTCCTTGATGCCTTTTCGGGACTTTGTGGGAACATTCTTGAATCAAATGTCAGCTTTGCTTAGTCAATGGTCTGTAGGAGGTTATAATGAAATAACATACGTGATCTGTAGTGGCGAGGGTGCAGTCTGGTCGTCGCACGTGGCGCCCTGCGTTCTTCAAGCCCTCAAAGGCTTGCTATGGCTCTAGTTAGATTTGGTACGCTAAACATAAGTTCCCGCATGTTTGAAGTATCACGTACAGGTGAAGTGACCTCGTGGACAAGGTGTCTGTCTATTTCACAAAGGCGAATTAGTATAACTCTCAAGCAATTCCTAATCGGGTGGCGCATACCGATATAGATGAGGACCGTGCCGTCAAGCCTCTCATCCACGACATGAGCAGCTAGAATCTTGTCGTACAAGGTCTGCGGAGCACCTTCGGCAACAGGCATCTTGAAAAGACCTTTGAAATACAATTTCCCTTATCTTCGTGACCCCTTGAGGAAGCTTTATCTCGGCGCACGCACGCAGAGTCCAAACGAGAGGAAGCGGATATCGAAATGAAATAAAATGAAAACTACGTCTTGAGAAAGTAAGGGGAAAGGGAGTAGAATCGCTAAGTTAGGCGGCTGACCGATTGAAAATCTATAAATGCGGGGAGAGGCTTTAAATAAGTATTAGGGAAAGAAGGAAATAATGTACGTGTTGAAGTCAAAGGAAGGCGGCGACGCCGGCACAGGAAAGCTCTACCTAGGTACAACGATGTTCACTAGCTTAGGTACTGTTGTTTTGCATTTTTCCCTCTCTCTTGCCCTAGGTATACGATCCGCCGAACATCGGAAGGAGGACCCTGTTCTCCGGTAGCGGGGTACATATGAGGTATGTACCGGTAAGGATGCGATTTGAATCTGTAGAACTGTGATTGGCTGGTGCGAGGGCAGTTGCGAGATGCCAGCCCAAATGCCATGTCTAGAAACAACCCCGCTACCCCACGTGAGGGGCCTTTGGTGCGAGTAAACTGCAAGAGTACGCTGATAATTGCATGCAGACAGATACCCATATCGGACCCAAAATCACTTTCTTACCGGGCGGCATATATGTAACTCTCCAATTCTCTATCAATGCAAAGTCCTCTCGTATTCACTACAGAAAAAAGGGAAAACAATATATTCTCGAGGCAAGGGCGGCAAAGACTTAATCAATCAAGATTTATGGGCAACACGATTCGGATACTCACAGCAAAATTCCCCAATTGCCTCCACTCGGAAAATGAGAGGTGAGATACTTATGATGTCACTTCGGTAGCTCTAGGTCTTTAGCTAGTCCAATGAAATTGCCCTAGTAAAATCTATCTTCGTAGGTAGGTGGTACAAGATCCCTGGTAGATCACCCACGCTCCGCTCTTTCTGTGAGATGGTAAGGGTACAGTGGTACATGTAAGGTTACCCATGGGCCATTATACCTACCTACATACATACATAGTAGAACACATTCCTACACCGCAGAATACCTGCACTATCCGAACCACACGGGCCTGCATCTCCCTTCCAGACTTCGGATAAGTCTCGTGCGAGTCTTTTAAGAACCCCCCAAAAATAGCGAAATCGGGAGGCAAAGCTATTGCTGATTTTCCATAAAACTACTTCTAATGAATGCGGTATATATACACCGCACCTTTGGCTAATGCATATTAAGTACCTACTGCTACGTAGCACGCATCGTCTACGTGAGAAGCCCCGATTCGGCGGACCGGTGACCATCCGATGTTTGCCGTCGAGCCTCTTAAGCTCCAATTTTTGCTTCCGTCGGGACCATCGGCACTGGTCGGAGCC